TGTACATGGCAGTAGTTGAGGTAATTTTGGATAGCATTTTCCGATAAACTTGATGTTCTTTGGTTGCCGAACTCGTTCAAGTTTCTTCGACTTCAGTCACATCTTCAAGTCATTTGCTCTTAGGGTCTGCTTGATGCACTTGGAAAAGTGGTAGTGAGATGAGATGAGATGGGATGAGATCTGGTGAAGTAGGTGGATGCAGTGGATGCAGTGGACGCAGCAGACGCTGTTGATCCAACCAAAGTAATTCCAGATTTTGACAGATCATTTCTGCTTTATGTGGTATTCTGGGCATTGTCATGTTGAAGACGAGTCTCCTTTCTATGAAAGGAACTAGAACGTTTGTCTTACCATTTCACCTGTGGTCTTCACACTTGTGAACGAATTGACCTCAATAAGTTTGCGCAGAGTCAATTCTGTTTCTAGTCTCATCTATGTTATGCTGAGAGAGTCGATGCAATGCCACCCACAATCGCACACAATTCAATCCTCCAATACATTTCAAGAGTAATTGCACAGTGGGCATGTTGGCTTCTGCGATAACGCCTCCAGAGTCAACCGAGATTCTGTCTCAACCAGGGATTTTAATGTCAACACCAAAGTTTGCACGTGGTCATGATTCTGACGTATAAACTTGATTAATATTGGTCGATTTGACTCGATGAGCCAAGATTGACTCCAGTTGGCTGTAAATACCTGTGCATAAATTTAAGCGATGGATTCTGTGACCCTTAAGTGGTTTAAGACCCGGTGGAAGAAAAGTGTCATGCAATATGCAGAGTGTTTAATGTAAAAATTCGATTACACCCTTGTTTCCTATTAGGTGTCTGGCCCCATACTAAGCTCGAAATTCGCTTTTACAATGTACGATTTCCTTTTGATGCCTTTAGTGATACTACTTGAATAAGTATTTCTATTCTTTGATGTCAGGTAGATTATTTTAATCGTGCCCAGATAACATTATTATTATTATTATTTTTAATATTTCAAATGGCAGGCGTTTTGATAGTTATCATTAGCCCTTTAGCTGACTTCGGGTTTCGTAGAGAGGAGGAGGAATATCAAAGTGACAAAAAGTAGATCCTTAGTCGTAAAAGAGACGGACAGACAGACAAAGGCAGAGAAAAGTCAAGATGAGTACTGTGGATGGGGTCGAATGTGACATGCAGTCGGGTCATGGTAATTTGAAGTGAGAAGTCAACTTCCGGTCAATTGACTTTTTTGTTGTATAAGTATGCGTTGCCCAGGGTTCACCACGTGGCAGTAAGTCTATCGCACACCGGACATTGTTCATAAAACAAGATTTTGCAGATATTATTTTGTTTCTTTCTATTAAGTTTAAATATTTTCCCGACAATCGTCTTGAACATTTGAGCATTTGAAATTCTTTATTTGGAGCAGCGAAAAACCCAATCAATATTTTTCCTTTTTTAGTTGCCTCCTATCCATTGTTCATCTACTTCCTCCTCTTCCTCACAGACTCTAACTCGGGCTGTAGATTTAGAGGACGAAATCAGTAAGAAATTTCAACAATTGTTCGAGATTATCTGGGTGGACAGGCATAGCAGTAGAATTTTATTTGAAATAGACTTCGATGTGTGCGCTGCCAATACAACCCCGACACTTCATTACTATTTAGAACAAAATACAATTATTAAATCCTTGCCGCTTTTGCGCAGCCTTCCAGAGAGACCCCTGAGAGTACTCTTCACGTCTTCTCTAGATTACGATGCAAGTGACTTGCGTGCTCAATGTCAGAGTGGAATGCTGTCAATGCTTAAGTCTGGCTCTACTCTCCCGGTTGAGATTCACGTTGCAGATAATGGAAACTACTTTAATGAACTCTGGAATGAACAGATCATCGGCTCATGCCAAAAACCCTCCCTACAGCAAGGAGAATTTATTTCTGTTGATACAGAAAAGATCGGTGAAGACTACGATATTATAATAGTCAATGTGGAAAAATTTCTCGCCAATGATCGTCCCGAACGATTGAAAAAATTGACAAAATCTCTTAGGGAGAATCAAATCTTCATTGCAGTGACTACGCACTCAACTTACAAATACCCGTTTGTGAAAACTCTGAAAAATCTATTCTTTCATCTGGGAGGATTTGATTTCCAACCGCTGAAGTCATTGAAGGCCAAGTGGTGGCTGTTTTGTAAGCACAATGGATACCATTTTGTTGAGATAATTAAATGGGGATGTCTACAATATCTTCAGCTAAACACGCCTGATATTTAATGCTATAGACTGGTTGGAATTTAAAATAAAATGCTTTGTTTGGACGTTTTAATACAAGCTGCTCAATTGCTCGACCATCACCATCACCACCACCATCATCATCTTTATCCTTATTATTCCCAGTTTATTATGAAAAATAATATATGCTCTCTTATCGGAATACTCACCTAATTCGTAATTCGTTATCCGAAAGCACTATGAAACTTATATGCCAGGTCAGAGCTGTGGATACGTTTGAGTTTTCGAGAATCAGCGAGCACCTCACTAATTAGTCAATGGGGGGGGGGGAGGGTAGGTATCATGTTTGGCATCCCTGGAGACAATTTATAAATAGGTCTCCGACTCTCATCTCATCATAGAGTCCACCTGTTGAAAGATCCGACTTCAGTCACTTTATAATAGCTATATTTAATTAGCGCCGATTGTCTATTCTATTCAATGGATGTGTACATATGGAAGCTGAACCTGTCTTCTCCGCAGACAAGAAAAAGTGCCCTTCCACTTTCAACGAACTTAAGCCATTTTCTTATTAAGAACGATAGATTAGGTTTACCTCTTCTTTCCTCATCTCTTTCTCTTGGAAGCTGTTCGAGGCTCATAAGCCAAGAACGTTCCCTAACCCACATTTTATTCCTCGATTTATTACGAGCAGTAATAGTAACTGTTTCTAGCCGTTGTTATCTCTGTTTGGAGAGCCGCATCATTTTGTCAGACGGCGGTGTTTTGACTAATATCTCCCTCAGTAGGGCAAAAAACAAGTTTGGCCGTCTCAAATTTAGAGCAGTGACGTTGATGTTATTAACATTGACAAACAAAAACAAGCCTCCAGACTGCCAGACGATGTTGAGATAGGGACAGTTTGTTGTGTTCAGAAAGGCTTGTCCCTTTTGCTTGCCTGCCAAGTCAATTCCTTGCCAGAAGTGACTCAGTTGAAGAAAGGGAGGGAGAAGGATTAACTTTCTGAATTTGCTGTGGGATGGATTTGACGCTTCAGAATTCATCTAACCAAACTCTGCTATGACTAAAAGAGATGCTAATTGTAGATATTTGAACTTTGTGGAGAAAGGAGCTCCAACAGTACTCAGGTGGGGCAGAGTGGCCACGCATTAAAAGGTTATTTTTTCTCAACCTCCTCAAGCAACTAAAAACACTGGTGGAATGCTTATAGAAGTGGATGTAAGCAATTAGCGTTTGGTTGGAAGCCAGAAAGCTGAAAAGTGGTTATGTTCAAGAACAATGTTCACGGAGTTGATGAAATAAGTTTGGAATTCAGCGTCTGAAATTGGGCAGAGAAGGAAAGGTGAACAAAATTACGGTATACAGTATGTACTGGTCCTTTTTTATTTAACTACGATCTATTAGTGCGATAAACTTGAGTATTTTTCAAAAAAACTCAAATTTCCTTCGTTTCATCAATTATATCAATTTAACCAATAAAAAGTAGTGACAATCGATGTACTTAATGATTTTTGGATTTGTGGCTAATTCTGGGTTGCTATGGTTAAGTCGGGCTTTTGTTCACGCACCGAGAGATGATGTTTATCCAAAAAGAATTTCTGAATCGTTCTGTTGGTATTCATTATTCAGAAGTCGGGTGTTTTGAATGATTATTAGTGAATAAGGCCTAATGAGTGAAATATATTTAGCTAAAAAGATTATCAAGAAAAAAATGAATATATTAAATATTAATGATTAGAAAAAGAAGTTTCAAACATCTTGTATGGGATCGCAACAGAACATTTTTCTTTGAGGGGGAGAGCATTTAGCGATTTTCTTACATAATTAAGGGATTGTACAATAGCACAGCGACAATTTTCATTGGATAATTTTCGACCAATAGGATTTACCCGTGGACACGTGTTTAATTTGATGAACCATTGGCGGCCAATTGTTTTTGTGCAAGCTAAGGTTTGTAATAGGTAGCATTGGATATTACATATTACTTTAAAAGAAATTAATTTTTGATCATTTAAAACCAATGACATTGCTCTACACTAAATTGGGTTTGATCAGCTTCAATTAATTAAATTGAACTAAATTAGCATACGTTTGATCCACTTGGGGGTAATGATAAATTTTCGTCTTTTTTCAGTTTCATTTCATCATGACACTGCTTTCAGAAGAAAACACCTGTTACACACCGGGGATAAATAAGTAAATTGTGTATATTAAAATTATAAAATCAGCTGAAAGGAAGTGTTTTAAAATCGAAGGTCAAAAAATTATCATTTGTTGACACAAATTTCTGCAATTTTTATCACATTCAATTTGATCCATCACCCATTTTATTTTATATAAACGATAATTATAACGATGAAATTGAATTGCTTAAATTACTTGAATTAATGAATAAAAAGAGACCACCTAATTGCACTAACACTTTATTTCTCCCAGTTATTTGGTTTAACAACTCCTGCCATTCAACGCAAAATTTGCGGGACGTTTCATTCACCTGAAAGAATAACTGGGTTTTTTTAAGCGTACTTATAACCGATTGCTCGTTTGACTTTTGCGCCAAAATCGTGGCAACCCTTATCAATAGGTTTTTTTCTCAAATTGGCATTACATTTTAGGCTTTCTGGGACAGGTTGATCGCATGAAATACAGTTCTACGCAGAGGCCTATCACTATAGAGAAAAAACATGGTCTCCTGAGATTGTCAAAATTTCACCAACTGAATGAACCATAGCAATGAATGCTTTATAGGCAAGGAAAGCACAAGGATAACGGAATAAAATAGGCTATTATGTTCAATGAATGGGATGTGCGATAGACTAACCTCCACGTGGTGCACCCTGGGTAAAGTATACTCATTCGACAAAAAAAGTCTATTAACTGGCAGTTGACTCCTCACTTCAAACTACCATGACCCCACTGTTTGTCATATTCGAATACTTTCACAGTACTTACCTCACCTTTCATCTACCTTTGTGTCTGCCTCTTTTACATCTTTAAAACACTCTTCTGTTCCCCCACTCTCGACTTTTTAGATTTGATGTTCCTCTCTCACTGTGAAGCCTGAAGTCGACTAAAGAGCTAATTATAACCATCATAAAGCCTGCCATTTGATATAAATAAATAAATAAGTGTTCAGTGAATTCTCTCCGGCCGTGGCACGTTCACTCACTGAATGCTCATCGAAATTAATCAAACCTACCTTTGAGTAGTTCCTTAAATAAAAATGCATTATTTGAACAGCTTTATCGCTGATGCATATAGCCCGTCTGGTGTGGAGATCACAAATGGGCATTGGTTTTAAAACTTATGATTCCTTGCTATTTGTACAAGCTAAATCAGGACTTCATGCTTTTGTGTTAACAAACAACTCAGGTGAACACACAGGCTTTATTAAAGTTTTCTCAGCTACTAGGTTATTACATATAAGTTATGGTAGTAACTCAACGTCTCCATGCAAAACTTGAGAGGAGTGCTCTGGTTCCCTCTTCTGAATCTGTCCCATTGTTCACTGATCCCCATTTTGGATATGTTCAAAAAATCTCTTCCAGGCCTACTCCTTAAATATGTTGGGCTATATTCCTCCATGTAAGCTAACACAAGCCAATCATACAGCACCGGTGTATATTCGATTGGATCCATATCTATAAGTCAGGGGTTTTCGGTGGACTTTCCTCCACATGGTGCTCCCTGGACAGCATATACTCATACGGCGACAAAAGTCTATAAATCGACAGTTTACTTCTGACTTCAAACTACTATGCCATATTCGACCACTTTCAAAGTGCTCGCCCTACCTTTTTCTCTACATTTGAATCTATCTCTTTTACATCTGTGAATCATTCTTCTCTTCCCACTCTCGATTTTTTGTGACTTTAATGTTCCTCCTCCTCTCTGTGAAGCCCGAAGTCAACTAAAGGACTAATGATGAATATCATAAAGCCTGCTATTAGATATAAATAAATAAATATCTATAAGTCAAGAGTTAGTGGGCTCTGCAAGGTTAATATGACTGAGAGTTACTTATACATCTCCATAGCTATTAGACAGGTGCCAATTAGTCAGCTTCACCTAAATAAAAAACTCCATTAATGCTATTGGCTAATAAGGTCTGAATATCGAGTATATAATTTCAAGTGGAATCGCAGGAGTCAGATAGTATGAAAATTGAGGAAAGCAAGATTTGGATGCATGAAGTGAATTTAGCACTTTAAAGTACACTGATGAAATCAATTCTACTTGAATTCGAGTTATGTAAGACTCTCAAAATCTGAACCTCCTTCTCCATCCCACTTGGACTCCATTTCATTCTTTATTAAAACATTTTCAGACGACATCTTGTGAGCAAAATTTAAATTTTCTATTGCCGTAGGTGATAATAATAATAGTGATAACATTTTAATATAAGCACTCTTATTTGGCAGTGTGCGTTAATACTCACTATGAACTTTATGCTAACATGGAAAGCCATTTTTTGTCAACCACACGACACTCCATGCCAACTTTAAAGACCCACAAACAAGGATTGCTTGAACGTGAGATAGTCCATTTTTGGCAGTCATTTTTTACCAGACTGGCCAAAAGTGAAGTTAATTGGTTTGACCACCCATATTGTTGCTGGGGCATTTGAAATGAGTTAATAAGGGAAAGAGAGTCCTCATTTTAATGGAACAGGAAGTCTAAAAGCTGTGTAACTTAGTCACAAATCAGAAGTGGACATGATGGATGAATCGACGGTAAAGGGAAATCAGAAGACAGTGTCACAGTCCTAGCCAACTTCCAGTTCCTTAAACTCGATGCCAACAAGATTGGCAGAAAACGTACTTGAATGTCATAGCACGTATACTTAATACAATAGGCTGGATTATTCAAGGAGTGTAGTACTGACACAGCCAAAATGACTGGTGTTAAATACTTGGGAAAGGTAAGGAAAGGATTTCATGCAACTGACCGTCGAGAAGGATAAAACCAGAAGAAAAGTTTTAGATTCATTTCACCTTGAATAAGTTCGGGTGACGGAATTATCTTTCACCAAGTTTAATTAA